TTCCCAAAGTTCCAAAAGCAAAGTTAAATACATTTCATGTTGCAAATAGTTTGATGCACTCTGGTTTTTCATTTTAACTCTTGCATCACCTCACGTCTTGGTCACAAAAAACATCCTGATAATGTACAATAACTAAAATTCTAGATATTAAGTTAATAAGACCAGACCATTTTTTATAAAGTTTTGATACTTATAATTTTGGGTTGGATAATCCGTGGAGCATCAACTGGAAACTAACGTGCCTGACACAAAACCTCATTTTGAAAAATGGCATGTTCTATTCAGGGTATCAACACGTAAAAATTCAATAGAAAACTGGGCTTTTTTCTCTGACCGGCTATGAAATATCAATAATAATAATAATAATAAAATGTTTTTTTGAGCAGATCAAAAGTAAAGTCTGATGTATGTCATTTCCCATTTAAAGGGAAAAAATCTGGGAAAGCACAGAGCAGCAATAAATGGATAGAAAGACAGCAAACAGGGTGGAATCCATCAGTAGGCAGCGCACAGGATTTCAACCTTATGCATGTTTTGGATCTCATCCACAGGCTGGAAGTCTCTCCAGTCAGCCAGCAGTTTAGCTGCCATCCCAGTGAGGCGGTTTATCTGTCCTACATATGGCATCACAGACGGGACTTCCATCCACATATTTCTACCAGTTACTAATGAACTGTTTTCATCCTATGAAGGGGAAGCTGTGATCCGGCATGTTGTTGTGCTCCAGCTGTACTTTTAAACAGCACTACAGGGTCAGCAGCTATCAATGCTCAACTGAAATATGTCTTGATGGCTCCATAAATATTTCTCTGCTATTGATTAAGTATATCTGTTGCTCAGCAAAAACTGGGCATGGAATAAATGCTCGACTGTAATAACCATTAACCAACCATTAAAGAGTAGCGTGGCTGCTGGGCAGCATAGATTATTAAAAATCTAAGATACGTATGTGGATATATACGGATATATATGAATAATGATGCTGTTGGGTCAGATATGAACTTTGCGATAAGCGGCACACTTTGTAATTTTTATTACAATATTATTATTTATGTTAAATTCAGAGGTGGACATGCTGATTTCAAGGTCCAAACATTCTCCTTTCAGAGAACAGAATTTATGGTTTCATCAATTATGGGATGCTGTTCAGGTCCTGAAGCGGCCCCAGAATATTACACTACCACAACCATGTTTGACTGGTGGTGTGCTGTTCGGTTTATGAAATGCTGTGTTAGTTTTATGACAGATGTAATGAAATGCAAACCTTTAAAAAGTCTTGTGGATCATTAAGATGTTTTTTGGTAAAAGTGAGATGATCCTGTTAGTCCAGCAGTGGCTTTCTCCCTTAGATACCATTTTTTTCCCGTTCTCTTTCTTGCTGTTGAGT